CCGCAATCGATCATTGCGGGACAGTAAGCAACAATAGCGACGTTCAGTTTGCAAGACTCTTTCGAGGCGGACGTCCAGCTGCGCGGTGATGATGCGCAGGTCGCGGCGATCGGGTTCCCTTGGCGCGATGAAGGCGTCTTCTTGTATTCGCGTGGGTGCGGACTTGACATACGTCCTCAAACAGTTCAAGTGGGGAACCCGCCCAACACGACGCAGGTCGGCAACGTGACGGTGTTCTACCGGGTTGAGGACGCGTGCGGGTATGTTGGGCTGGCGAACCGCACGGTGCATGTGCGGGACACGCTGCCGCCGGAGGTTGAGGTGCTTGGGCCCGGGGAGATGTTTGTGCGGGCCGGCTCGACGTTCTACGACCCGGGCGTGCGTGCGCGGGACAACGTGTGGCCGACGGTGAGCGTGGAGACGGTTGTTGTTGCGGACGGCGCAGAGTCGCGGGCGGTGCACGAGGCGCCGCAGGCGCAGGGGCGCGAGGTGTTCCATGTTGTGTACACGGTGCGGGATGGCAGCGACAACCAGGTGACGCAGGTTGGGCGGACGGTGCACGTGCTTGCGGCGCCGGAGCGGTCGCCTGCGTCGTCGTCGGCAACGCTGTCGTTTGACTTTGGGGTGACGCTTGCTGTTGCGGATGTGCCTGGCGGCGGTGCAAGCGGTGCTGGCGGGCGGCGCGAGGTGTACTCTGTTGCGCGGGCGGTGACGAGCGTGTCGGTGGACCCGGCTGCGCACACGCTTGAGGCGGACGGGCTGGACGTTGTGCTTGGCGGGGACGTGGAGGACTTTGTGGTTGAGGGCGGAGACGGCAGCAGCGCGTCGCCGGGGGCGGCGTATGTTGAGCTGCACGTTGTTGTTGGGGGCGCAACGGCGGACGTGGTTGAGGCTGCGCGGGCGTCGCCCAAGGTTGAGGCGATGACTGAGCTGACACGCGCGGTGTCGTTCTTTGGCTCGATGCGCAACGCGGACGGCGACTGCGCGGGGCTGGACACGATTCCGGATGCGCTTGCGCGGCACGGGCGCACGTATGTGAGCGCGGAGTGCGAGGGCTGCCTGTGCGTGTACGAGGCGCTTGAGCCGTCGTCGGAGGGCGAGTTTGATGCGCCGCAGCTTGAGGAGACGGTGCAGTACCACGTGACGCTGCGGCCGTCGGACAACCGGGCCTTCAACCTGGCGCAGCTGCGCCTCAAGCTGTACGAGCTGGGCGTTGTGCCGGTGCTGCTGCGCTTCGAGCCCACGCCGGCGCCCACGACAACGACCACCACCTCGACCACATCCGCCACCACCACTGACACCACGACAAGCGCTGCACCGACGTCTGCTGCTGGTGCTGGTGCTGGCACAGCTGCGGCAAACGCGACCGCTGTCAGTGGCAACGCAACAGCAACAGTGACTGCAACGGGCGGTGCTGGTACATCGTCCAGCACAACGACGGCGAGCACGACCACTACGACCACCAGCACGACGACGACCACGACGCAGGCTGTTGAAGCAGTGACGTTTGTGACGCGAACGCCGTTGCCAAAGGGAAGCGATGCACTGCTGCCTGCGCGGGCTGTTGTTGAGAATGTGCGTGCGGTTGTTGCGACGCGGGTGGAGATGGCTGTGACACCTGACCTGACGCGGGTGACGCTGCTGAACCAGTTGTACCACCTCGGCATCGTTCCCAAGACGTGGTCCATGGGTAAGCCTACATGTTTGTGTGTGTGTGTGCTTTTGTTCTTGTGGAGTGGAGAGGGAATGTTGCTGGGGTGTGGTTGTAGTATGTTGCCCCACGTGGACGGGCTTGCTCTTGTGTGTTTGTTGTCGTTACGTTACGTTATGTGTGTGTGTGTATGTGTGTGTGTGTGTCGATATGCTATCCCATGTGCGGTGGTATGGAAGGTGCTGGGGATGCTTGCATCCGTGATGTGCACTACTGTCCTGTGCGTTTGCTCACACGCGCGTTTGCGTGGTGTCTTGGGTTGTGCTGAAATGCAGAGGCACGCGAGTCTGAGACGGTGCTTGTTGTTGTGACGTACAACGACGTGACGGCGGCGGCGGTGGCTACGCTGGAGAACGAGGTGACGTGGGTGCTGGGTGCGGTGTCTGTGACGTACCTGTCGACGGAGCCGCTTACGCCGCCCGCGTGGTCGTGCAACTACACGGTGGACACGGCCGGTGTTGGGGCGAACATGACTGGCGCTGCAGCGGCGGTGAACGAGACGCTGCACATGCAGGGGCTGACGCAGGGGGTCGACTACCGACTGCACGGGTGCGACGGCGACGTGAATGCGAGCGCAGCGTGTGTGATTGAGACGCGTGCTGCGCTTGGCGGCGGTGTGCTGCTTGCGCTTGAGGCGTGGCCGGCGGTAGTTGCTGTTCGGGATGACGGATGCGTGACGCTGGACGACCTCCTGCTCACCTCCATCAAGGCCAAGCTTGGTAGGGTGTGATGTTTGGGGTGTTTGTGCAGGAGATTTGTGTGTGTGTGCGTGTGTGTTCGAGTGTATGGGCTGTACATGGGCTGTACATGGGCTGTGTGTGTTGTCTGC